TTATGGAATTTTCCCAAAACGCCTCTTTCGACTATTGACTCAATCCAAAAACAGAAGTTTTTTCACGTCATTACTAATTTCTATCGTCACTAAAAATTATTTCAATAATCATTGTTTTCTTCTTATTAAGGAGGCACTAAAATTTTAAAATTCATTCTTTTAACAGTTAATTTGCTTACAAATTTACGAAGGCAAATTACGAACTGCTATTTGAATCCATAGATTACTTAGTAGCGTCTCGTCATTGCTCTAAGAAACACCAATTTAAACTTGTAACAAAGTTTTCGCAAGTGGCTTTGAAAGGACGTTTCTTTCGAAGAGCCAAATAATGGTTTAGTTCTTTTTTGAAATATAAATTTCGTATTAACTTCTTCCTATTAACAGTTTAAATATTTTCAGTAACACTTCGCTTTACAGTGCTAAATTTTGTATATTTCCTTGAATTTTTTTGGTATAACTTAACTTTGTGCTACACAATTTTTTTTATTGATTCACAACTACTAGATGTGCATATCGAGAGAGCGTTGTCACCTTTCTTGAAGAACAAGACTACCGCACTTCTGCTCCACGTCTCCGGTGTAATGCCACCATGGAGGACGGAATTAAAGAGCTTCTGAAGGACTTCAAGTACCGGTCTTCCACCCGCTTTCAGAAGCTCCGCTGTAATTCCATCCTCGCCTGGGGCCTTACCGTTTTTAAGGTGCTGGAGAGCCATCCTAATCTCGCTCAGACTGACATCCGGGATATCTTCGGAATAGTGTCGGATGAGACTCGCTCTAGGATCGTTACTCACACTTGCGTGTGGCTCCAACGATGATGTGTATAGCTGCCCATAGAACCTCTCAATCTCACTCAAAATCTCAGGTGTCCCGGAAACGATGCTGCCACATTCTGTCTTCAGCTTTGACAGTTGGCTCTTTCTGGCAGACAGATCTCTGGCAAAGACTTTGGAGCCTTGGTTCCGCTCGATCGCTTCTTCAATACGAGCTGTATTGAAGTTGCGTAAGTCCCGCCGCATGCATTTGGAGATCTGTCTGTTCAGATGCCTGTATGCTGTCAAGTCTGTTGAAGAATGTAGCTTCATCTCCCGTCTAACAGCCATGAGATTAAGAGTGTGATCGGAGAGTTTTTGTGTTCTTCTGCGGCGGGTCTTGCAGAACTTAGCTCTGACCGCATGGACAGTTTCCACGAGCTTGTCATTCATATCAACGCTCTCTTGAAGAACTACAGACCGATTTCCCTTCTGAGCCGCGTCTACGTCCTGTTTTCGAGAGTCATTACGAATCGTCTCGCGCGCAGACTTGACGACTTCCAGCCTCCCGAACAAGCCGGTTTCCGAAAGGGCTTTAGCACCATAGACCACATACATACCCTTCGGCAAGTTGTACAGAAGTCCGAAAAGTACAATTTGCCACTATGTCTGGCGTATGTGGACTATGAGAAAGCCTTTGATTCCGTCGAAATTTGGGCGGTGCTGCAGTCCCTTCAGCGGTGCCAAGTTGACTGTCGGTATATCGAAGTGTTGAAGTGCTTGTACAGTAGGGCTACGATGGCTATCCGAGTACAGAACCAGAGTACGAAACCTATCCAATTGCAGAGAGGTGTAAGACAGGGTGACGTCATATCCCCGAAACTCTTCACCGCTGCATTGGAAGACGTTTTCAAGCTTCTGGACTGGAAAGGATACGGTATCAACATCAATGGCGAGTACATCACTCACTTTCGATTTGCCGACAATATAGTCCTTATGGCAGAATCGCTGGAGGACCTAAGCACTATGCTCAATGACCTCAATAGTGTTTCCCAACGGATAGGTCTTAAGATGAACATGGACAAAACAAAGATCATGTTTAATGTCCATGTCACACCTATGCCGGTAGTTGTTGGGAGCACTAAGCTCGAAGTTGTTGACGAGTATGTTTACCTGGGACAAATAGTCCGACTGGGTAAGTCCAACTTCGACCGAGAGGTCAATCGACGGATTCAACTCGGCTGGGCAGCGTTCGGGAAGCTACGACACATCTTCTCGTCAGACATACCTCAAAGCCTTAAAACGAAATTGTACAACCAGTGCGTGTTGCCAGTGATGACTTACGGAACTGAGACGTGGTCCTTCACTGCTGGCCGTATGAGGAAGCTCAAGGTCGCTCAGCGAGCTATGGAGAGGGCTATGCTCGGAGTTTCTCTGCGTGATAAACTTAGGAATGAGGATATCCGCAGTAGAACCAGAGTGACCGACAAAGCCCAACGGATTAGTAAGCTGAAGTGGCAGTGGGCCGGCCATATAGCTCGAAGAACCGACAACCGATGGGGAAGAAAGGTTCTCGAGTGGCAGCCTCGTACCGGTAGGCGAAGTGTAGGGCGTCCCCCCACGAGATGGAGTGACGACCTGGTAAGACATGCAGGAAGTCGATGGATGCAGGTGGCTCAGGACCGTGTTTTGTGGCATTCTTTGGGGGAGGCCTATGTTCAGCAGTGGACTTGTGAAGGGCTGTAATGATGATGATGATGATGAGATGTGCATATAGTTTCTCAATCGTTATCATTAAATCAGCAAAAAAAAATACTGGTTCCAATGCAGGAAGTAAATAAATGTAATTACAAACACTCGTCAACAACATCATGAGTAAGTTTAGCTAGAAACTACTCGGTAAATCCAACTTTGACCCAGAGGTCAATCGTCGGATCCAACTCGGCTGAGCAGCATTTAAGAGATTACTACATATCTCTTTACGCATTTCTCAATACTTGAAACCAAGAGTGAACAGCCAGTGCGGGCTTCAAGTGATAACAGATTATGGGTCTGTGACGTGATTCTTCACATCTGGCCATATGAGGAAGCTTCAAGTCGCACAGCAAGCTATAAAGAGAGCTAAGCTCAAATTTTCTCTGCGTGATAGAATACGTAATGAAGATATAACCGACACAGTACAAGACAGACAACTAATTAACATTCAATTTAACAAGCAAACAAAAATGAAAAAAAGTACTAATTGACTTATCTGAGGAAAACATTATGTTATATAAATTAACAAATAATTTTGTTTCATCGGAATGAGGATTGGGTAAAATAATCTCACAATCAGCAAATTCCTCTAAAATGTTTTTACGCTTAGCTATTCGAAATTGTGTATTCCCCACTCTGTCCCAGCAAGAACTTTAAAAATATTTACCTAAGTATGTAGAAGTTTTATTAAGTAACTCAGTAACATGATTATTCCATTTTAAAGAGCGGTCCAACCACATCCCCAAATACTTTACAGCACTGACTACCTCTATTACATTATTATTAATATTTAGCGATATCTATTGTCTATTGATGCCTTTCTTGAAGACACATACCTTTGTTTTGGTTGTTGAAATGTCCAAAACCAGATCAATAAGCATGTTGCTTATTTTTTTTATTTATTTAAATTGTTGTAGTTAAATAAAAAGCGTAATCATCAGCATTTAAAAAAAATAACATTGGAAACTTGTTTACAAATATGAAAAGTAGCAATATTAAATAATATAGGTGAGAGAGAGGCTCCTTGGGCCAGGCCACGACCTGTAGATCTACAAATTATTTTTAATACATTTTTTTGCTTAACTCTGTTTCCTTTAAAAATGCTTATAAATATTTGCAGGTATTTGCACCAGCGCCTAACCGTTCTAGATTTAAATGTAAGGCTCTAATATCCACGTTGGTATAAGCGTTTTCAATGTCAATGAAGCATGCTACCGTTAATTGATCTTTCGAAAATCCCAGCTGAATTATAGAGATAAATTGTTAAGGTTATCAAGACAGGACTTGACAGGAAGACACCACAGGTTTTTCTAAACCCAGTGGTGTCTTCGTGAAAGAGGTTTCTTTTCTCAACTAACCACTCTAATCTATTCTTCAACATAGAGTGTAATATTTTAAATAAACAAGACATAAGAGAGATTGGTCTTAAAGCTGCTATTGAAGATGGTTCATGACCTGGTTTAGGTATTTTATTACAAGAATTTCACGCCTTTGCGAGGGAAAAAACTGAGAGTGTTAAATAAATTGTAAAGATTAAGTAAAATATTTATAGCGTTATCCGGTAAATATTTAATCATTGAGTACGATATTTTGTCACCTCCGAGTGAAGTATCTTTTGCTTAAAAGCATCTCTTTAGTTCACATAGTGAAAATGGCGCCTCAAGTGTTATATTACAAGACGAAAATATGGGATACTTTGGACAGACAAAATCTGGTGTTAAATTACCTCAAAGCTTATTAACCGTTACTTCGTCAATAAAAGTATTAGATGATTTATAACCCTTTAACCACTTCATCTTGCGCCACATTTCTATTACATAAGTAACCTCATCAATTGAAGAACAAAAATTAGGGACTGATTTATTTTTAGCCTGTCGAAGTAATAATTGTTAAATTATGAATTTATCTTTCAATTTGTTCACATTACCAGTGAAAGGGTTCTTTCGAAACAAAGTAAGTGCTAGACGTCTTTCTACAACAGCTTTCGATAACTTAGGATTCCAATAGTGATTGGGAGTAAAATGTTGAGAGAGATCTTGGCTAAATCTATACAAAGGAATGTGAATATCAGCGGTTTTGTTCATTATGCTAAGGAACAAATTGTAACTTGTTTGCGGGTCATCAACAAGCAGATTATAATTTGAGAGTATCACACCATCCGAGTTAGCAATTTTATAGTTTCTCCTCTGAATAAATGGTGAGTTATTGTTACTATAAGAAATATTAATCTTAATAATTAAGTGGTCACTACCTAATGTCTCATTAGTTACCTTCCAGTTCAAATACAAGGCTATGTCCGAAGATGCAATAGAAATATCAGGGGAAGATTTCTGCAAATTTCCGTTGAAAAATTTAACACGCGTGGCTTAACTATCATTCAATGGAACAAAATTATTTTCTAACAAAGAATCAAAAATATTGCTACCTCTCAAATTAGTCTTACGAGACCAGCTGGAATGGTGGCCGTTAAACATACATACATACATACATATAATCACGCCTCTTTCCCGTAGGGGTAGGCAGAGACCAGTTCTTTCCACTTGCTACGATCCTTACATACTTGTTTTGCTTCGTCCACTTTCATTATTCCCTTCATACATGCTCTACGGTTTAGGGTACTCTTGACCTGGCCTTTTTTCAAGACGTCCCTGATTTGGTCTAGAAATGTCCGCCTAGGTCTACCCCTTCCAACACTTTCATTCACACTCGCCTTATACACTTTTTTCGTCAATCGTTCTTCATTCATTCTCTCGACATGGCCAAACCATCTCAGCATACCTTTCTCAATTTTTGTCACTACATCTTCTTTCAGACCACAACGTTTCCTTACCTCACTATTTCTTAGCCTGTCACCAAGTTTAACTCCTATCATACTTCTTAATGCTCTCATCTCAACTGCATTTATTCTGCTTTCATGTTTCTTCTGCCATACCCAAGTTTCACTTCCGTACATGAGTGTCGGAACCAACACCCCCTCATGCACAGCCAAACGAGCCTTGTTAGACACCTTCCGACTGCTCATAAAGGAGTGCAAAGCTCCATTCACCATGTTTCCTGCATTCACTCTTCTTTCGATATCACTCTCACACTTTCCATCTCTTGTAAACTTTGAACCCAGATACACAAACTCTTTCACCTGTTCAATTTGTTCATCTTCAATCACGATATTGCAGTCTGTCACTGCCTCATCTTTTTCAAACACCATCACTTTCGTCTTCCTTACATTCATCTTCATTCCCTTTCTAACAAAAGCTCCACTCATAGCAGTTACCATCTCCTGCAACTCCTCGGCCGAAGACGCAAGTAATACTTGGTCATCAGCATAGAGAAAACATTTGACGAGTAACTCATTCATTCTCAACCCACTTTCATTCTCTTTTAAATCTGTCAAACAATTGTCCATGAACAGATTAAACAGCCACGGTGACGCTACACATCCCTGTCTAACGCCTTTTTCGATATTAAACCATTCAGTGTATGCCCCGTTTATCCTTACACAAGCACTAGAATCCCTATAAAGAGATTGCATTGCTCGTATGAGGATACTGCTCACACCGTTCACGGATAGTGCTGACCACAATTCATTCCTCACCACTCTATCATAGGCCTTTTCTAGATCTACGAACGCGCAGTAGACTTTCTTGTTTTTAGCCAAATACTTTTCGGCTATGCACCGCAAGGAAAAGACCTGATCCGTACATCCCATTCCCTTTCTAAATCCCGCTTGTGCATCCCATACTTTCTTGTCTGTTTCATTCACAATCCTTTCAATCAACACTTTCGCATACAATTTACCGACGACGCTGAGAAGGCTTATACCGCGGTAATTTATGCAGTCCTGCCGTGACCCTTTTCCCTTATACAATGGCACGATTACGGCTTTGCACCAGTCTCCCGGTACTTGCCCATTTCGCCAGCACAGATTGAAAAGGCGGTACAGCTGACTAGCCACCAGGCCCTGTCCAGCCCTCAGCATCTCGACGGTAATCCTGTCATACCCTGCAGCCTTACCTAATCTCATACTTTTCAACGCTTTCACTATTTCATCCATGCTTATCTCATTTTCATCAACATTTATATTAGTTTCCGTGGAAGGTGGCAGATGCTGTACCTGCACTTCCTCTCTTTCAAACAAACTTTCAAAATACTCTTTCCATCTCTTTAACACACATTCTTCTCCTTTTATAATGCTCCCATCTTGACTCCTGTATTCAGAGGTAGAAGTTTTTCCTCTGGCTGTTTTGATGGTTTTCCAGAAAAACTTAATGTTTGACTGGAAATCTTCAGTGAGCCTCCTATCGAAATCATCCTTTCGTTCTTCTTTCTTTCTAGACACAATTTCTTTCGCTGCTGTTTTCAATCTTTTATACTTCGTTCTTGCTTCCTTTATCTCGTCATCCGTTGCCTTTTGAACTTTTTGGTTAGCTTTTGTTGCTAACCAATCCAACCACGCTTTCTTCTTTTCTTGCACAACCTTTTGTACATCTTTATCCATCCACACGTTATCATTCTTTCTTCCTTTCCTTCTTTTAGCTACCCCGCATACCTCGATAGCAACATTTACGACCCCTTTCTTAAATGTCTCCCACAAATCTTCAATCACTCCTATCTCTTCTATCCCTTTAAAACTTTCTTTCAGTTTCTCTACATACTCGTCTTTCTTTTCTTCTTCTTGTAGATTTTCCACTTTTACTCTGTCCAAAACACTCGTAGGCTCGGCCACTCGGTGTCGCCACCGTTTAAAGAGGCCACGCATTCGGGCTATGACCAGGAAGTGGTCTGTGTCGAGGCCTACACCGCGGTATGCCCGAGTGTCTAGCACTTTCTTCCTCAGTCTTTCATCCACAATTACAAAATCAATCATACTTCTAGACTCACCCTCATCTCTTGTATACAAATGGATCTTTTTGTGGTCAAACATTGTGTTGGCCACGCACAGATTCCATTCCAAGCATACTTCAAGCAGGCTTCTCCCATTGTCATTCACTCTCTCGTCCCCAAACGTACCCAGAACTCCTTCATACCCATCACGCTTTACTCCAACCCATCCATTAAAGTCCCCTAACATCACGATCCGTTCATTTTCTCCGCATTTATTCAAGACCTCTCTCATGCTATCCCAAAATTCCTCTCTCTCTTGTTGTGTTTTTATGGACCCACCTCCACGCAGATCCGTTGGTGCATAGACCCCAAGGATAAACAAGCGAGTGAGTCCGACTTTTAACCTAATCCAGAGGAGTCTTGGGCTTATACATTCATGCTCCATCACACATTCAACCATTCGAGATGAAAGAATCACACCAACTCCCTGACTGCCTCGGCTGGTTTGGGGGACTCCCGACCAGTATGCCGTGTAGGGGCCATGAACCGTGGTGTCACATCCTTTCCTCTTGGTTTCGTTCACGCACAGAATATCAATGCAACGTTCATCCATCATCTGACATACTTCATCTACCTTACCATCCATTCCTCCTCTTACATTCAACGTAGCGAAGCGGCTCTCCGTGGGCCGCTTTTCGCCCCCGCGAGAAACGAGACGTGATGGGTGGCGAACCACATCGCCGCCATTTTGGTTAATTAAATTATTTTTATGACTATCCATTGCGTTCCCACGAATAGCGAGGGAAAGGTTTGTCCCCCCCAGCAGAGCCCCGCATGCCAGGGTAAGGCTAGCCTAATTCTGGGGTCGCCCGGTCCCAGGGCAGTGTGGCACGCTAACGACTAGGCTCGCCCCTAGCCATGCATCCATCCGCGCGGCAGACGTTGGATTGGCGGAGGGTAGGAATAGGAAAAGGGGAAGGATAGGTGGTGTGAAAAGGAAGAGTAAAGTAAGTTAGGGTAGGAAATAGGAAATGTAGGATATTACCGTCCAGGAGGGCACGGGATAGGACAGTAATAGCTAGGGAAGCCGGGGTCGCATACCCGTATACCATACCACAACTACCGGACAGGTAAATTGGGATGAGTATCCCTCGACTCGTAAACTCACCAAGTAAAAGTGTTTTACTCATCTTAAACGAAAATATTCCATCCCAGTTACTTTGAGAAGTTTCTATAACTGGTGGGCAGTAGATATTTTAAGTATGTAATCAATATATTTACAGTTGAAAACTTTTACACAAATTACTTCAATACTAGGATTTGAAAAATGAACAGGAATTAGTTGCGCCTTAACGGATTTTTGGGCCATAATAGTGACACCCCCATACGAATCTTCTCGATTGTGACGGAAAACATTATAACCAATTATTCTAAAAGTAACCTCACTATTTCACCATGTTTCGCATATAGCAGGTATAAGAATTTTTTCACTATTTATTAACTACTCAAATTCAATATACTTTGGCTCAAAACTTTGTGAATTTCACTGGAGAAGGAGAGCTTATACAGATAACTGACCTAATATATTTTTAAAGGGAAGGTCCTAGATGTATTCCCCCACTATCGATACTAACCATTCAATGCATAGTCTCATTCCTTGAATTATTCTACTCTTCAAAACTTCTTGTGAGTTAGAAATTAATGCGTATAATTATGCAAGCAATTGCTTTTAATTTAAACTTGATCTGCATTTCTCTTTTCTCTTATTTTTCAACCGAATTTTATTTTCCGACTCATTGACTAAATTACTATTCATTGTTTCTGATTTCGAAGATACATCACAGTTATACACTTCATTTTGACTTTGTTTCTTATTCTTATTCTTTTTCTTCTTGGGTCTCTGTTCTAATGATTGAGAAACATTCGTTGAGCCCAGTTGTTTAAATTGTGATTGTCGAATGATACTACCACGTTGCGGCGCTCGAGTCACGCTTTCATAGGAAACAACGTTTGTCTTTTGACTGATGTACGTGTTCAGGTACAGACTCGGAAAACACACTAGGGCATGCCGGTGAAGTTGAATTAAATTGTTCTGTGCGCAGTGTAGAGACGGGTTCTGGTGGAACATATACTTGCAATTCACGAATTCGTTTCTTTTTTTTAACACAGCACACAATATATCCAATGATTAATGGTTTTCTGTGCAATTCACACATTTATATGAAATTGTCTCACAGTTAGCGTGACCCTTGCCACACTTAGGGCGCACAACCGTCTTGCTTGGATAATACGCAAGGAGTGCCCAAATCGTCAGCACCTGGAACACTAGGTAACTGGGAACACGTACGAGTCGACATTTATCTTCATGCCGAAGATGAAGACACACGTTGGTAGTGAGGGACCCTTCAACCCTAGACGTATTGACTTACTCTCTTCCCAACCGTTACCATCCTTATTCCTGCGTTTTAAACGTTTTGCCGCTATCAATTCACAATTGCATGTCTTTTTCACTCAAGTCCAATTCTAAATTAATAAAGCCGTAAGATATAATAACTTCTAATGGTTTTGGTCATCTCCAACCCACATCTTACAAAGGATCGCAATTGATCAACTCCTCAGCGCTTTCGCATTATCAAACTGTATGAACACTTTATAGGGGTTTATATATTTTACCCTTAATAATTTAGCAAGCGCGAATTGCTTCGGTAACTTTTCGGAATTATTAAAGTACACATCAACCTTCTGTCCCAATCTCTTTCCATTTCTTCCTACCTCTTTCCACCCTTCTTCCTCATCCTCCTCCCGGGGTCTGTTATTACGACTAACTCTAGAACTAGAGTCCTCAAGCATTTCTTCCTCACGTTGTGTAGTATTCTTCTCTATTAACATTACTTATCCCGGGTAGAATATTAATAAGCTCATTATCGTCTTGAATTATATGTTCCTCCATGTTAAATAAGGTACACTATCGTATGCACCTATTAACCATTGCACGATGTGTGTAAATAGGTACACAATAGCGCGAAATATTACCGGAGGTAAGACTGCTCAGCGAGAAAAAATAATGCGACCATAGCGGACAAGTTCCCACAGCGAACTGTTGGCTTTATTTACACTATCTATTTAATGTGATGCACACCGAAATAAATATACAGAAGGAGAATGCAATGCAAGTTCTAAACAAGAAGGAAGAATTACAGTGGTATAGAGAAACTACCATATATGGTGTTGTATCGACGATGCCGCGCGGGATTTAATATATGAAACGTCGACCAACGGATAGAAAGAGTGTGTAGTGTAAATGCGCGTGTGTGTGACTGTATGATTGTATGATTGTGTGAAATGTTACTTTTTACCAAATTTAATTAACCACAAATATTACAAAAAGTCTTATCCGAAACTATTTCGATGATATTCCGGACGTCAGTCTGAGCGAAATTAGAATGGCTCTCCAGCACTATGAAAACCGCAAGTCCTCAGGCGAGGATGGAATTACAGCGGACCTTCAGAAAGCGGGTGGAAAACCGGCACTTGAAGTCCTTCAGAACCTCTTTGATTATGTCCTCCATGGTTGCTCTAGACAAGGAATGGATACACGGTTTCAATAAAAAATATAATTTTTGTTCAATAAAATAAATACACAGTGGTTATCGAGCCAAGTCTGAGAAGAGATTAAGAGATTAAAAATGGAATATAGCTTATACCTATATTTAATTGGGAACAACAGAAAAAACTTATTCTCATGTCAGTGTAATTTGTTCCAGGGAAGTTTATTACGAGTATGTATTTTACAATTTTCAATATAATTTCTAATTTGGAAACAACAGGAAGCAAAGGGTATCGTATATCTTATTATCAATAACATTTTACTACGTATTTTATATTTTATTATGTATTTTGAAATATTTTATACACGTGTAAAGTAAATGCCGAGTCACTTGTTGCTATGCTTTGCTTTGGGCTGACAAAGCATATATCTACAGGGTAAGTATTCTTAATTCACTACTCTGGAGGCATGGAGCAGAAGTGCGGTGGACTTGTTCTTCAAGAAAGGTGACAAAGTTCTTTTGAAGTACTACAGATTTCGAAAGTCATTACAAATTGTATCGCACGTAGACTCGGTGACTTCCAGCCTCCCGAACAAGCCGGTTTCGGAAAAGGATTTAGCACTATAGACCACATACATAACCTTCGGCAGATTCTACAGAAGTCCAAGGAGTACAATCTTCCACTATGTCTGTGAGACTATGAGAAAGACTTAGATTCGTCGAAATTTGGGCGGCTCTATATAAACAAGCAGCAAACAAGGGAAAGAAATCCGCTTATACGAAATTAATTGTTTGGTAATCACAATAGTAAAGCAAAACCTATAGTCTTTTTTGGTTGGTAGATATATTTACGGCTACCTCGTTAGTCTAGACGTTGTAGTAGTTCGACTGTTGATCATGAGGACCCGTGTTCAAATCCCTTCAGCGGTGCCAAGTTGACTGTCTGTATGTCGAAGTGCTGAAGTGTTTGTACAGTAGGGCTACAGTGGCTATACGCGTACAGAACCAGAGTACGAAACCTATCCAACTGAGGAGAGGTGTAAGACAGGGTGACAGGGCCTGAAAAAGATACGGTATAAACATCAATGGAGAGTAAATCACTCACCTTCGTTTTGCCAACGATGGCTGATTATGGCAAAATCGCTACAGTACTGTGGCGGGTGGAAGAAAAGGGGAGATCTTCCGCCGGGCACGGTGTTCTGCCCGGGGAGCGGCCAACGCTCCGAGTAATACTTCAGAGCTATTCTATATATACTGCTTTTAACTTCGGAACTTTGTTAGCGCGATTTAGGCTTCGATATGTTTCGCTTGTGGCGCGACGATAGCGCCGCCACAGTACCTAAGCACTATGCTCAATGGCCTTAATACTGCCTCCCAAATGTAAGGCACTTTTCGCACTTCACTTTTCAGCACTTATTTCACACATGGTCCAATGAATTCTTCAATTTGAAGAATTTTGGCCCAACATTACAGCCACCGCTAAAGCAATACTATTGCTTTAGCGGTGGCTGTAATGTACCATTGGGAGAATTGCGCAATTCTCGGCATTCGGTAAATGAAACTAAAGTAAAGGGCCCACCGTTTATAGACACTTCGGCCATGTGTGCTCACATATAAAAGCATATGGAAATGATAATATGCAATTAAAATAATAAAATAGTTAAGGAATTGGTTTAAAAATGTCCGGATTTTTAAGGTATAAAGGTTTTTTTTATTTTCACAAGAACAATTTTTTAACAACAAATGACTTTGTATTTTCGTGACAGACCACAATTCACACAGACATTAAATGAGTTACTGAGAGCTGGGAAGAACTCTGGCCGGTTTGAAAGCTGGGGTCATCGTTGACAGTGGATATCGAGTCCAAGTTTGTGCTGAGGTAAGAAGTGGGAGCGGAATCCATTTTCAGGCCGTGGTCAATATCATCAGGGTGAGAAAAATTATCGGGGTCCAATTAGAATGCTTTTGCTGCTTATTTTACTTTAAATGTATATAATATATTCCAGCGTTGTCGTCTATTCGAACTAGTGCAATATCGAAATATTAGTGTACAAATATTTGTTGATTAACGCTTTTTTATCATGCGAAATTAAAAATTAGATTTGCTTTAATTTCTTGAATGAAATTATGTATTTTCTTGAAAAACTTACACCGAAGTTAATTAAATTCATTGCACGAATGAAATATACATCAGAAAATTCGTATATTTTAATTGCTTATTCCATTTAAATCTCAGCTTCACTGGCAATAGCCAAATGAAGTCAAAATGTGTATTTTT